TAAAACAGTTGGTATACTCTCCAAAATCAGTTATTATGTACCTAACTCTGCTCTCATCTCTCTATATTATGCACTAATCTATCCCTATCTTAATTATGGTATCTGTGCATGGGGTTCAACCACTGCAAACCACCTCAAGTCCATCATTACCCAGCAAAAATCTGCTATCAGAATAATAACAAATTCTGCTTTCAGACTACATTCAGCCCCCTTGTTTAACTCCCTAAATATGCTAAACATGATCTCACTCCACAAATTCTCTTGTGTCAACTACATTTACAAAACCCTGTTCTTAAATGCAAATCCTGTTCTGAAACTCTCCCTGGACAGATGTAATAGGACCCATTATCACCACACCAGAAATAAATATCTCTTTGATATCCCCAGAGTCAAACTTAATTTGTGTAAACACTCTATGCAAATAAAGGGACCCAGTCTATGGAACTCACTCCCTATTGAATTGAAAGCTGTCCAACTTTTGCATCATCAAAAACAATACTAAAAAGTACCTAATTTCATCTTCATAGCTTTTTTACCTTTTGCTTTAAAACTACACTGTATCTATTGCTACCCAATCTCCCAATCTTTATGTACCCAATCTGAACATCTTTATCATTGCAATCATTGCTGTCTTCTTATATGTACTGTCAATCTGCTGTATGGTGTCTATTAATCTTGTTTAAATTACCAATCAAGCTGTCAATGTAATCACCCAGAGCTTTAATATACCAATGTGATTTAATATACTTACTAATCTCTCTCATCTCATTTTCTTTTTCTTGCAATGTATTTGTTATCATTTTATTAATTCTGATAGAATTTACCTACTTAAAATTATCTGTTAGATTAAGGACCTGCCCGAAACGCTGCACGTACTAGTGACTTTACAAGAGTGCAATTACTGTAATATGCTATGTATTCTCACAAACCCAATGTACCTTCTTGTATATAAATAAATAAATAAAATAAAAATAAATAAATAAGACAAAAATTGAAAAATATGCCTTGCCTTCATATTCTCTACCCTAGTTGTTTTATACACTCTGCATGAGTTTGAAAGGTTGTTATCATGATTCTGACATAATGAGGGACCACTACGAATCCAGTAATCTATTGTGTTAGTATCATTAATGTTCCATAGCCCCGGAGCTGTCTCCTAGATTGCAAACTCCTTTACCGTTAAAGATTTGGGTATTTCCTCTTGTAAAATGTCACCAGCAGCAGCAACAGGCATTGATAGTATGTCTGCTGAAACTGGATAATTGGTAGCAGAAATAGATGTAGAAGTGGATGCTATATCTGAAGGAACAGTACTAGTGGCTGGCATTGCAGGAGTGGATGCTGATGTGGATGCTGTATCTGAAAGAACAGTACTACCCGAGTAGACTACCTGATGGTGTGTTTACAGTAGTTAGCGGCCTGCCAACAACACCAGACAATGTGTCCATAAGCAGACGTGATGATGTTAAATATCTCATGAATTATGGTACAGATGGTCGTGTTCAGCTGCACAGGTTTTTTTTGTGTATATAGTGGAGAGTTTCAGTTCCTCCCTTATGTTGGCTCTTGTAACTGCTAGAAATACTTAAATATGAGTGGCATAGTTAGAATACTGGAATACTATTCTACGCTTGACAAAGCTGGAATACTGTACTACATGTGGCACAGCTTGAAATCGTATTACATGTGGCACAGCTTGAAACTGTACTAAGAGTAGCACAGCTGGAATATTGTACGAGTTGCAAACTGCAATGCTGTATTACATAAAGGGAGGGAGGGAATTATCAGGGAGAAAGCGCCAAGCAATTACGACTATATAACACTTGGAAGGGGTCAGGATAATTATTTGGAATGGGACAAGGAAAAGGAATGGTGGCCATCTCCTTGGGGACGGTCGGGAATTGAACGCCAACCTGCATGAAGCAAGACTGTCGCTCTACCGTCCAGCCCAAGTGGTTGAAGGGAGAAGCAGTTTATTATAAGTTTCTCATCAACAAAATTGGAGATCATATGGACTAGTGTTACGACCCTGGGTTCCTCAGTTGGAAACCAGAAGTCAAATTGAGCTAAATAAACTACTTTATATTATTTGATGTGCTTGTCGACGTGTGTTGTTTGTATCTTCCCTGCCAGACGTAAGACGATTCTTGTTTCTCACAGAGCATTTAAAGACTGAGCTTGTGGTTGATTATTAATTAATAAAATAGGCATCAACTATGTTTACAAATGATTAGAAAGTATTAGTAAAGTAGATCTAAGTAAACTTGGATATAGGGCTGCTGTACGATTAGCTGAGTAGTCGGCTGGAGGAAGCTGAAACTGGAGACGATCCTCCTTCTCTGGCTGGCGTTCATGGTGTCATCATCTCTACTGAGTTGCTCTGCACCCCTCTACCCTTCCTCCTACTTCTTTCCCTTACCTTAATTTCCTGTAACCACTAAGATAAGTACTGTATTTTGTAAATAATCGTGCCTACTCTGGAACTGTAAGACTTGTGTAGACCTTGGGTAGTATTTGCCAGTGTTTTGGGTACCCCTAAGTGTTGTGTTGTGTTAGGGTACCCCACGTAGGCTCCCTACCCTAAGCTGCCTCAAGCTTCAAGTTCTTCACTAGTAGACTTTACCCTAGCTTGTGCTTTGTAAAACCTTGTATCCTGCTTATGTGGACCAAGGCTTTTAACGTAAGATAGTGTGGTAAAGTAATTATTGTTATTGTTGTGAATGTATATGGGGGGTTGTTAAGAGGGTTTAATAAATAAGTTAGTTTTAAAGGAGTATCTATTCTTCCTATGTAGGAGATCAATGATCTACCTCTAGGCTGACATTGTCTTGTAGCCAATTAGTAACACTGTTTATATTTTATTGGGGGCCGGGCCTTTATAATCTCCCTTAATGGTGATACATCTTAATTCTAACTGCCGACCCTACTCCAGAATAATACTAGACCCCACATATCGGACCATCAATCCTTAACAACTAGTCAAAAAGATATTAAATGAATCCATACTGTACATTACAATATTAAATAGTTTCCAGATAGTGATTTATTTCACTTCACAGGACCGGGAAATGGTTTTCTTAAATTTCCTCACACTCTCGAAATATCTGCTCAATCTACATGGTAAATGCTTCAACTTTTTTTAATGGATCAACATCGTAAAATGAACATGCAAAGAATTAAAAAAATAATAATTATAAAATTTTAAGGTTTCAAACGAACTTTAAATATATAAAAAAATCATAACTTATTCTTTTGGTATTATTATGGTCCAAGAATAACATATGATCTTCCCTTTTTATCTTTTAGAATTTAATTTTGCAGTATAGTTTACTGTACAAAAATTTGTCAATGTGGCATTTTAAATATGCACCAAATTTAGACACAAATATTTATAACTTGCAAAGTTAGGCATATACGAAAAAAAGAAGAAGATTAATATTGTAAAATGAACAGCTTTGCACATACAGTATGTGAAAATGGTGAGAATCGGTCAGAAACTGGAGTTTTGAAGCTGTCTCAAAGTTGAAATTCCAGTTTTAAAGATAGTTAAAATTATCGAATACAACAAATATAGTAGTCCTAATTTATTAATGTTCTTGTATGTTTTAATAAAAATTGCCTTGCATTCATACACGAATATGTGAAAGTTGTAGGTCAACATGTGTTGAAATAAAGTCAAGAAAAAATAACCCAAAAAAAAAAAAAAATAATGATAATTATTATGAGTTGGGGGATGTAAATGTATACTTTATATAAGTGATAAATCCCTAATCTGGTCCCAATTCATCAAAACAACCTAATGAAACAAAGAAAATAGTTTGAAATCTGTAAAAAAAATTGGCCAAATAAATTCTAAATCACAACTTCTGCCACCTGTGACTGATTTACTTGTTGACCAATTTCGTTCAGATTTCACATACACAGAGACAGGTATGCATTCTCCAAGATGTAGAAGCTACAACAAAATCAGATTTATAAATAAAGAGAAAATAAATTGTTGGACATTGGTGGAAATAAGATATTGGCATTTGGCAATGTATTTATATGATATATTTATATGATAAGAAAGGCACTAGCTGCAGAGTTGGGTAAATGTAACAGCCCCATAAGTACAATTATGCACTGGTTATGACAGTACGAAAGTGTACTTATTACACTTAGTATTAAATCGTACTGTCAATTCGGAGGATGGGTTGCTAGCTGCATATACACTTGTGGACACTTCTTACTACTACAGTTCTTCTTAGTGTGTTGGACAGGTGCTTGCATCTCTTTATTACTGCATTATTCCTCAGTTCCAGTTAATAGGAGCTGTTCTCCTTATCATCACTTTTTTTTTTAATTCGTATAAAATCTATTTCTTAACATATTGGGATGAAATTTTCACGATACTGATGCCAAATAATTTGAGATTTGCAAGACATTTTCCAAGTAATTTTCTTATTATTCAAATATTTTTTTTGTTTCCCAGTCCTTTAAAACTATATTTGAAGTTTTTAAAACATTTCTAAAACTAAGACTTTAAGTTTAAAGTTTTTAAGTTATTAGGTTTTTAAGTTATAAAAGTTTAAAACTTTAAACTTTAAAAATTAACACATTTTTAAAACTAAGTTTTTAAAACTGTTTTACTTTTTTTAAAGTTTTTTAAAACTATGACTTAAGTGTAGTTTGTTTGTTTCTTTATGTTTATTAATGCTGCTAAAAGTTTCATTACTTCAACACTAAATGAATATAGTAAGTTTAGTCCTTCTAAACTGTTAAAGAATCAAGTTTAATAAGTTTTAAGTTTTAAAAGTTTAAAACTTTAACCTTTTAAAAACTTTAAAACTAAAAATTTAAACATTTTTAAATTTTGAAGTTTCTAAAACTATGTTTTAAGTACAGTTTGTTTCAATATGTTTACTAATATTTCATTATTACAACACTAAATTAATTTAGTATGTTTATTCCTCCCAAACTGTTAAAAGATTGTGTAAGGTTTGTGAATATAAACAAACAAAAAGAGCATATAATTTTAATAGTATTTTCTTTATAATTATACTGTAACAATATTTTAAAATGGATATTCTAATACCGTATGTCTACAATAGTAGTTTTTGTTTTCAAAATAAAACTATAAATATACCATTCATTAAATCTTACTTCATATAAACAACTTAAAACAAAACAGATCTGATTTGTATCTCATGTCATTATAAATTTGATTTATAATGCTGCTTCATAAAACAATTCACTTGTCTTCACACCTGCATTGTGAATTATTTTAACAACTAGTTGTGCAATATTAAATTATTACATCCCTTTACTTTCCATTATATTTTCACTATTACAATCTTGTAGAGTACTTAATGTAACTTAAATTTTTGGTCAAAACATGCACTAGGCTTTAAAATTATGCTAGTGTAATACTACACTTTACTAAATTTTCTTCCAGTATTGGACTTTGTGGATTATAATTTATATTGCAATTATTAAAATCGTCTAGATAACTGTACTGTATATATACTAAGGCACAAACAAAATAATTTGACCAACTAAAGACTTCTGACTGGGATAGTATTTACACATTGCAATAAATGATGAAATAATAGAGGATGCTATAAGTAAATAAAACAGTTCTAGTAAACATGAATACGACTAAAAATAGGTACATAGTTTAACCCCTTACACTGTTCCAATTGTCATGTGCATTTTTTCCCCATCTGATACGTTAACTATTTTTTAGTCATGAGCCCCTAGATGTAACAATTTTAAATACAGGTAGTTGCACAGTTCAGGAGTTAAGGAATGTAACTACTGTATCAGGATGTGTAAATAGGTTAAATAAGTCGATAGGAACATGTATAGATTATGGAATGTAACAACTGTATAAAAAGGAACTGCATAACTTAAGAATAATTCACCGGTAATTATGTTTAATGGCTTAACGCTTTCTCTTGATAATTATCTTACCTTACCTTGAAAGGTCTCCTTCCATTGATTCTGTACTCTCCAGGCATTGTCTGCTTCAGCAGCTAGACAGTTTCCATAGATTTGTTTGTTGTGTACTGTACTCATCTAGTTGTGCTTGTGTGTACAGAGGAGATTGAGCATAAGCACTCGGATCCCACCTCTAAACCTTTGGTCGACTGGTGTACAGGTTTTCAAGTCTTGCGGGCTAATCATACCTACAGTCATAGTATTTGTATGGAAATTAACCTAGAGCGATGCAGCAACTTAAACCGCGCATGCAACGCAGATGCTGCCTGCACCCAATCAACAGTATTATCAAACTGGGTGAACTGGAGTACATGTAAGGAACACCACTCGCAAGACTCTGGGTCAAAGGTGTCATCAACCCAACTGGCAGCATGGTGGAGGCAAAGACTGTGAATGTCACCTAGAGACAAAGGGACAGAGCAACCTTCAAACTCGCATGAAACGAGGTGGGACTGCCTCCTCCACTTCATTTAGTGCATTTAATTTATGCACTACTCTGACACACAAATTTTTTCTAATGTATCTAAGGATCATTTGGGTACTGTTTCTACTTTTGTCTTCTTGTTTGTGCACCATACCAATTAGTCTGATATTATTTGCCCTCTATTTATTTTAATACTGTATTATATTTGTATGTGGTGGTCATATTTACCATTTTTTCTCTCGGTTACAGTGATGCAAGCTTAAATTTCTTTAATATTTCCATGTAACTAATACTTCTAAGCCCTGAGACTAGTCTGGTGTTGTGCCTTTGGACTTTTTCCAGCTGTGAATTAGCACATTAGCCATCTTGAAGAAGTGGTCAAGGTTTAAGTTATTAAACTTGACCTTGTAGCCATTTAATCAAAAGCCTGAGATCAGTCCTGCCATGAACTGAATAAAGAATTATAAGCCCAGCAACCATCAACCTATTCAATCAGTGAGGTTACCTTAAGTTACCTAGAGGTGGTTCCGAGCATTAATGTCCCTGTAACCTAGTCTCTGACCAGGTCTCCTGGTTGATGGTCAGGTCAACCAAATTGTTAAGATGCAGATGCTCATAGCCTGATTATGAATTACAGCTTGGTTGATCAGGTATCCTTTGGAGGCGTTTGTCAGGTTTCCTTTTGAACACCGTGAGAGGTCAGTTAAATTTAGTAATTTAATTTGAATTATTTTTTATCACCTTGCAGTGAACTTTTTTAGGTGATGTATAATTGTTTTTAGGTGTAGTCTCCATGCTTGAATTGTGTAGTTAATATGGAGACATGCCAGGGATTTACCCTTATATACAAAGGTACACTTATTAACTACTCCTCTGGCTTTTACTTGCTGTATTACTATTAGTCACTATAATGACAAGCTCCTCTTTTTCATAGAGACTAAATCAGTATTTGCAATATCGTAAATGTGACCTGTTTTAATTTACATAAAAGATCATTCTTCTATACTGAATGACATCTGTGAGTCTGACCATTTGTCAAGTTTAAGTAGGCTATTTTGTCTGGAGTTAACATTTTCTTTATTCTCCACCTTTGATCAAATATTGGTTTCATCTCCAGATTTGATGCTGTGTTTGATATATTGTTGGCCATGTTGTTGATGTAGATTACGAACAATGGCAGTCCCAGAATGGATCCTTGTGGCACATAACTCAAATTTTTATTTATTTCAGATGCATTTTATTCTACTGAGAAAGACTCTTTTTGTAATATTTTAATGTTTTTATTTTCTTAGTCTTTTTTGATTGGTACTTTAGCAAATCCATATGCTATACAACACACAAATTTACCTGAATTTACCCGAGGGTCACCATCTCTAGTGGCCATGGCATAGATGACAAGATTATACACTGAGATAATAAACAACCTGCATGTAATGCAGTGGCAAGAACAATGGCATAGATTATACTGTGTAACAAATTTAAATTTTTTGTTTGTCCCTGAGTAATGTTATTTTCTGATTGCTTATGCCTCAAGTGTATAGAACTATTACTCTTAAACTTTGCTTTAACCTTTTAACTCAGACAGCTTGGGGAGGACATCTTGAAGGTACCTGAAGACCGCCAACATATTCGAGGGTCCCGGTAGTACTGGCTTCATTCTCAACTCACAATTCAGAATTCCGGGTTTAAATCTCTGGCAGGACAGAATGGTTGGGCGCGTTTCCTATCACCCAATGCCCCTGTCCACCTAGCAGTCAATAAGTACCCAGGAGTCAGTCAACTTGTTGTGGAGTTGCATCCTGGGGAGGGTCAATAATTTGACATAGGCCTAACATGTATTGTATTGTATGTAATCAGGCTTCATGTCCCTCCCCCGACCCAGTGAATTATGAAACACTGTCATAGCTCCAGATAAGTAGTCGGCAGCCTTCAGGTATCTTGAAGACATCTTCCCTAAGCTTGTCTTAGTGCAAAGGTCAAATCAAAATTTCAGGGGAATAATAGCTGTTTTTTTATACTGTACTTTGGAGACATAATTAGCTAAGAATACATCCAAATCTTATGTACGGTATTTTTGTTATTTGTTTAATTTCAATGCAATTAAGTTGATAAGATTTTGGCATTGTAAGTACATATATTATGTGAGTGATGTATTGTAATGACAATCAATTCATTCAAATTACTTCATATATATAAATTACCTTTAGTTTGGCCTTAAATGTTTGAATATTTATACCTATATCCATATATTCTACTGTGAAATAAAAAAGTTAATGTAAATGGGGTGCCTAAATGAAGCCATATTAAAGTAAACATTCTACATTAACTTATTACAGCATGAACAATGTGTTCTTAAAAAATATAACAAATCATTTGGCACTTCAGATGCTGGGAAGATTTGAACCTTTTATCTTAACTATGAAACCGAACCTGAACTAAACATCAGTTAGATTGATAAATAAAATAAATACAATATAGTATTTGAAATGTGAAAATATTGCAGACAAGGAGTCACAATAACCTGACTGAAATATGTTGACCAAACCACACACTAGAAAGTGAAGGGACGACGACGTTTCGGTCCGTCCTGGACCATTCTCAAGTCGATTGGGACTTGAAAATATTGATATTCCAAGTGAAATACAAAACATCTTTGTTAACCTTTACAAAAACCTATGGTATTAAATAAAAGATCAAAATTCTATCCATAAAATGACAATTAACTTAGTCTGTATATTCAGTACTTACAGTATATACTGGACTGTATATTCAGTCCAGTATATTAACAAAAGAATCAGTAATCGAAGATTTCATGCACATCACGAGATTGGCTACTTTCATATCCGGCTTTTGGCCATGTAGTTATATCACCAACTTTCACAGAGTTTCACTATTATTGTATTAACATATACAGTATATTATATCTTATCATATATCAGGGATCAAGGGCAAATATAGGAATTTAAGTTTTAGAACCTTTAAAATTTGTTTTAATATTTATCTCCAGTATTATTTAGTGTGGAGTTTCCCACAGTTGAAGTTAAGTAATATCTGAGGTCCAAATGTTGTGGTATAGCAAAGGATTATACAGAAGATTGTTATTACAACACTTAAAGATGCACAATAAAAAGCTATAAAAGAGGCAATCCAATAATGATGTATGCCTAAACAAATTGTTTCAGACCATGAGCCCAGAAACCTGTATACAATTGTATCATGTAATGGTCAACAAGGTCCTCAGATCCTCAAACAAGACCTGGTAAAAACCTGCCATTGCTGGTGGCAGAATCAAATGTCATCCTGTGCAGTGGTGCCCAAAATTGGCAATTATGAGTCTTTCAAAAAATGTCACCAATTTCTGATTTATTTTACATACTTAAGGTACAGTATGCTATGTTATTTTGCTTGCTGTACATTGTTGTGTACAAAAATAAACATAAAGGTATAACATTAGTAGTCTTCCAGCTGTCTGGTAGTTCTCTTTTCTACAATGAAACATTGTAAATAATTGAGCAAGGTTTGCTGAGTGTATTAGCATTGACTTATGAGCTTGGAAAGAATTGTTATCTGGTATTAATTCGTTAATTTTCTTCTCCAAAATGAATATTTCTGAAGTATACCTTTAGTATATCTGAAGAGCTCCTGAAATTTAGTATATATTATGTAAAACAACATTGCAAACACTAATTTTCAATGAGGGAAGCAATCAGCCTCTCTTACCCTACCTGGGCGTAGACATTTTTCTTTGTCGACTGCAGTAGTATAAGAGATTTCAAACGTATTCTTGTATAAATCATGTTTCTATATCTGGAATATTTTCTTCATGGATGAGGTGTATTCTTGATTCATTTATTCTATTGACGAAAATCCAACTGTTAAAGAAATAAAGAAATAAACAGATGTATGTATATCAAGAAGAGACAAATAAATCCAATAATTTATTTTGTCATAACTGTGATATTAAGTTACTGATATCATAATTAAATTTCAGATCTTGTGGAAGTGGCCATGCTAAAAATTTTCTTAAAATATTTCTACCAATAGAATTAGTAGAAATTAAATTTTCAGGTAATTATTTTATTAGAATCAAAATATAGTACTGTATAATGAAACATTATTGTAATGAAAGCAATAATGTTCAAGGAAGAATGCACTTACAAAACTAACATAATACTGTATCAGCATTGTGCAGACAATGAGTCACAATAACGTGACTGAACATTTGATGACCAAACCACACAACAGAAGATAAGAGAAACAACGACATTAACGTTCGTCCTGGACCATTATCAAGTTGTGTGTGAGCAACCATTACCATTATGAAGTCCTCACACATGACTTGATAATGGTCCAGAATGGACCGAAACATAATTGTTTCTCCATCTTGTAATGTGTGGATTGGTCATCAATCAAGCATTGTATGTAATGAAAGGACCTTTTCTGGTTAGGCCTCAGTAGCTGCCTGGGATTTACAGTCTGGTGTAGCCAAGTTTTAAGAACCTGGCCTGATGAGAGCCAGAACCAGAATTTATCAAGCATTTATGCAGTACTTATGAAATCTGTACATCTTTCCTCAATCATGGCAGTTTTCTTTACATTAATTAAACAGTTTTTGAGCTCAGAAATAATGAGGTTGTTTACAACAACAATAACTTTGGGTTGTGAAGCTTTGAAGCTTGTAAACTGTTTAATAAATGTAAACAAAGCTGCCATAATTAAGGCAAGACATACAGGTTTCGTAAATGGTTGCGCAAATGTTTTATGAATTCATGCTTTCAATTCGTTCTGAATTCTTAAATGCTTTACAATTCTAGTCTTAGGACCAGGACCAGAATTGTAACTCTCTCTATAAGGTTGAAGGAAATCAGGACCTTGGAAACATAAGGGCCTTGGAAATCAGAGGTCCTCCCAGAAATATACTATATCTAAACACAAGAACAGTATTCTATAGTGATTATCTAAAATTATGTTGTCTGTTTAGCAGCTCATAGTGCACTGAAACCTTTATGTTCTTAAAGATATTTTCAATGTTTCCTAAAGCTCCACACTTTCCCTGTTCATCTGTAACATGTGAACTTCGTTTTCTTAACCCTTCAATTGCGCATCGCATCATATGATGCTTTGACCGACTTGCAGTAAATTGCGCATCACATCATGTGATGCTTTGGAGTACTACGCAAGATTTAAACGGCCCGCGGATACACGGGGTTCACCACACCTTCATCAGGGCTCTTGTAAACAGACGCCATTTAAAAAAAAAATCGTGGGCCAAACTCCCGGGTGTTATTGGCCTCAGTATTGAGTGAGCAACCAAGCCTGACGCACGCAGCATGAGCTAACAGCACTGCTGTTCAGCTTGTGACCACAGCATCACTTAAAAATGCCATAATATACTTGTTCATGCTATTATGTAGTGATGATATTATTACAGAAGACCCCTGACTGTGATAAAACTGATTCTGATAATAGCAGGATTGTGGTGATATTTAGCGCTGTGCGCCATGGAGGGAGGAGTAATGCTGTGGGAGGGAGGGTGGTGGCGATGTCTTCTGACTGTGTGTGGCCACCTTTTATTGACTGCACTCACCATACCAGCTTAGTGGTTCGCTATGGTGAACACAAATGTAGATACTTATATATAACCTGTGTATATAGTGTAATAACCGACAAAGTATTTGTTCACTGATTGATGAACATAATTGAATCAACAATATGCACACCATATTTTTGAGTACAGCGATGATTCACTCATTTTATTATATAAATATATCAAACTACACACTATTGAATAATATTACAGCAAAAAACTATAAAAAATCAATCAGAGACATTGAAATAATTAGGTAATTATCTTTTTGTGGCAACTCCGGCCTGACAGCTGGCGATCAACAGACCGCCTGGGACGCACGCTGAGTCAGCGCCTATTTTTTGCCAGACTTCCCCACCCTATAGCGGGCAATATATGCCACTTACGATTTTTTTATTATTTTTCCCATGATCAGTGAACACAAATTAACAGATTAGGAAGAAAAAAAGATTTTTTTTTTTTTTGTATGCGCCTGTGAGTGTTAAATGGTATATAGCCATGCGCCATTTAAGGGTTAAATAAACTTGGTGGTCCATGATAATCCTTTTCATTGGCTTCATTCTCGGCTTACAACTGGGGATCCCATGTTCTATTATCGGCTAGGACAAAAATAGTTGGGTAAGTTTCCTTACACCTAATGCCGCTGTTCAAGTATTCAGGAATTAAGCAATTATTGTTGTTGGGGTTGCATCCTGGGGGGAAGAGGCCTTGGTACATGCCTAAAGTATATATACATACTGTATACAGGACTAAAGAATATATAAATATATGTATGTGTGTGTGCGTGCGTGCGTGCGTGCGTGTGTGTGTGTGTGTGTGTGTACAGGCTTCCTGTTCCTGTGTATATACACAGGCCTAAAATATATATACACATATGCTTTCTTACCCCAAGCATTATATTATTCACTACTATGACATAAAGTTGATTATTGCCTACAATGATTCTTTCTTCTCAATGATTTTTACTTTTGTAAAACTGCTTTAGTGTATGAATAATATTTTTATACATACAGTATCACACTACTCAGATTATCAGAGACTACATATACAAATACTGTAACTGAAATACGGAGCTAAAAGTGTACTTACATGTAAAATATTGCAGAAATAGTACAAAATGATGCACTTAAGAAATACATGGCACCTGGAAAGTCTTTAATGGTGGCATTATATACAACTGTATATAATGGGTTGGAGAGCAATGGAAGGATGGATTCCCAAGAAGCCAGCATTGAGAAGATTTTGCCTATTTCCCCAGGTGGAACAGCTTTACTGATAATCGACCGTGTGACAATCAAAGGCAAACCTCCTATGCACGCAACAACATTGGCTGTAAGAAAATTGTTATGTTAATTTTTTTGCAAGAAAAATATAATAAATGTGATATACTGTACACCTTTGTTATGCTTCTTCTACAGATAAATAATTCAATGTAATGAAATGCTTCTTTCTCCCTAGTTTACAACACTGACATCCAAGGACCATCTGTGATATACTAGGTCCCTAATTGTCTCTACCCACCAGGTTTCCCAACTTGGTCTTCTCATCATCAGTGTGTGATAGATTAGCAGTTGTTTCAGCCTTTCCTCACCCTTCACTATTTGTCTTCTTTGTCTGAGGTGATGTTAAGGTTATTTTCTGTGGAGAGCCCCCTTTGGCTCCCTGGAGCTATATACCGGGCGGATGTGCATGACCGTGGCAACAATCAATCGAAGGAGTTCTAGGCCTACTGGGGACCAGAGCCAGAACCTGTCCCCCCCTCTCAAGAGAGGCACAAGGAGCAATGACCTAAAGACCCCCCCCCCCAAAGGATTTGCCTGGTGGTGAGACTCGGGCGGCTTCGGGGATTGCCCCTTCCGGATCGGCGGCAGAGGCACTCAAGCCTGTTCCTCCTGCCGGAGCTTTTGGGTAATGTCAGCGGGCCCCCTTCATCCTTGCTTTTCCGATGGACTCTTGCTTTTTCTCCAGACGCAGAGGGTTTAGAGGACGGCTTGGCCCTGGGTCCTGACATGGAGGATCCCAGTGTCTGGGGGGAAGGAGTCGACTTAGGGGGGCTTGAGCCCCGTTTGACCCCACTTGGGTGTTGGGTACCCTTGGCACAGGGCTTGTTGATACAGGGGGAGGGGTTTTCCTATCCCTACTCACTGTACGATTTTGATATGAGTTCGACTCCTCTCCAGATTTGGTTCCAGGTTTCCTTGGATTTTTCAGTTCCCTTCTTTTGAAGGTTTTCGGCTTCCGGCATCCCACCGAGGGAGGTGCGGAAGGCTCTTGCGGCTTACTTCCTGCGAGCCCCGGATTACGCTTTGATAATGATTTCTTCTTTTGAATTTGGCTCCTTTTTTTTTTTTTTTTGCTTACTGGGTGCATTATGAGGTGTCGGAGTCTTCCTGACTGGCAGACTGCCTATCTTTCGTTGGAGGCTTGGCAATCGTTCTGTCGAACCCGCACGCTTGAATGGCGGGAGTTGACTATGGTCATTCAGGTTTACCTGGGGGGCGAGTTTGAGCACCTCAATACGTGCTTGTTTGCCCCGTCCTTCCACGTGATGTCGGCCAGGTGCAGCTTCATGTGCAGGTTCCCTCCCTTTCGGCATCCCTGGTGTCTGGTGGACTTGCCTCGGCAGTTCGGGCATCGGCTGCCTTGTTGAAGTTGTATGCGCTGGTTCTGAAGGAGGAGGTGTCTCAGTTCTTTGCTTCTCACCTCTTGTGTCGATAGACAGTGCTCATCCACTCTTTGGAATCTGCTTGGGCCCCTGACTTAGATTTTCTTCCCCTTTTTGTCCGTTGCTGTTTGCAGAGTCTGCTGTGGTGCATTTTCTGCCAGTGGTTTCGTCTAGTTGTCGGCTTATGTCGGACTTGTTGGTGCACTGGGGGCCCCATGGTGGTCCTGCCCAGAAGGGTTGTGTCAGGGCTCAAGGTTCCTTCGGTCATCGTAAGCCAGTAGTACCAGATTTAGGCCCGGTCCCTCCTGCAGAGCCGTCGGCATCTGGTCGGCGCGGTGATCACCCTGAGCGTCAGTCGGGCTCTCGTAAGGGTCGTTGGCTTTTTCGCGGTTCGCCCCATTGATGGAGCGATAGGGGGAGGGGAGGCCTAACACTGTTTGCTCTTGCGTGGTCCCATGATTCATGTGCATTTCGGGTCATTTACTCCGGCCTGCGGTGGCGTTGGGTAGTCTCTCCTCCTTCGGGAGGATCGGGACTGGCAGGGCGGGCTTCTTTCCCTGCACCTTGTCGGGTCATCCTGGAGTGGGTTCGCTTGGGCGTGATCATAACGATGGCATCCCTTAGGTGGGTTTCCCGCCTGTTTTCAGTTCCGAATCGGGACTGTGCAGATCTGTGGTTCATTCTGGACTTGTCCCATCTGAACCCCAAGGTCTTTTGCCCCTCCTTTCGTACGACCACTCTGTCTAGAGTCCGCCTGCTTTTGGTATTCAGTGCTTGGTGTCTCTGGACCTCCGAAACTTGAATTGGCATGTCCCGATTCATCTGGGGTTCAAGCATTGGTTTGGTTTTGTTGTGGGGTTTTGTTACAGCTTTCGTTGCTTTCCATTCGGTTTGAATCTGGCACCTCACATGTTCACACGCCTTACCCGAGTTATGGTGACCCGTTTACATCTGTTAGGGGTTTGGGTTCTGGCTTACCTCGACGACTGACTGGTTTGGGCTCCCAGCCAGTCAGCGTGCCTGCTTACCAGGGATTTGGTTCTTTTCCAGCTCGCCGGGTTTGGGTTCTTGGTGAACTGGAGGAAGTCCCATTTGGTTCCCTCTCAGGTTTGGACTTGGCTGAGTCTTGTGTGGGACTCTCGGACTGCTTCTTTATCTCTCCCTCCCATGGCATTGTTGCACCTGTGGGCCCCCCACCTTTGACTGTTTTTGGAGGGCACCCGGGTCACTCATCGGTTGTTCGAGCAGTTGTGCGGGAGTCTGAACTTCATACTCGTTAGGTCAGATCTGGCTTCGGTGGCTGTTCTGGTGCCTTCAGGGATGTTCCTCCTGCTGCTGTCAAAATCACTGGGTTCAGACCCCGGGGGCCTTGTGTCGGCTGCTGCATTGCCGGCTTCCACTTTGGGTTTTTCGGGGTTCTGTGCCAGGTGCCTCTACGAGCCCTCACTTGATTTATTCACGGATGCCTCGTTTCTCAGCTGGGGGTTTTGTGACCAGTGCTCACCAGGCCGGCCAGGGTCGGTGGGGTCCGACCTTCTATTGGGCTCACAGCACGGCGCGGGAGTTTGCGGCAATGTGGCATTCGCTTGAAAGGGTTGATGTCACTCGTGGAGCAACGATCTGGCTCCATTCAGACTGCTCCTCTGGTTCATTGTCTGAACCGCAGGGGTTCAATGCAGTCCTTGGCTTTTTGGGGCTGGTCGCTTCGGGTGACTCGTCTGCTGAGTTCTCGGGGCGGTTCACGTTTAGGAAGTGCCAAACATCTTGGAGATATTTTCAATGCCATTTTCTGGGTGAGACCCGGAGGCTCCCCGGCATTCCTCTCTTCCTCCGATTGACAGTTTTTCACGTTTCTGATATTCAACCTCTGAACTGGGGTTGGGTAGCCGGCATAGAGGTCTGGGACCCCCCTTCCCCCTCCCTTGGAGGGGGGAGTTGCACAGATGGCTGCGCAGCGGCTGTGGTGAAGTCATGCTCGTTTGCTTGGTTTCAATTGGGGAGTTCTACTTGCTAGTTCGGCTTTCGGTCTGCAAGTTTTAACCAGCCAGCTGTAGTTTGTTTTGGAATTCCTACCTTTCTGGGTGCCTGACCTGGTAGATGGCAAACATAGACTGCTTCCAATTACACGGGGTGTCTTTAGGCCATTGCTCCTTGTGCCTCCCTTGACGGGGGGCCAGGTTCCCCGCTCTGGTCCCCGGTAGGCCTATAACTCCATCGATCGACTATTGCCACGGTCTAATATATGCACATCAACCTGGTATATAGCTCCGGGGAGCCTCTGAGTCTCTTAGAAAATTGCGGTTCATTACATTCAACATTGAATTTTTACCTGGTTACTTGTCAAAGTCCTCCTTATGCCAAAAACCATTGCCTCCTAGCAGTGGGGTTTGTTGGACCCACTGTTGTTAATCAAAGCTTTCTCCAATAGGTGGCCTTTTTCTTGTGCCATTGAGGCCTTCCTAGTCACTTGATCATGGTTATGATCCTGGTTATGTTTTCCCTTCAGTTCCAGATTTTGTCATTTCTAGAGGACCTGATATTAAAGATTGTATTCCTCATTGTTCAGGCCAGTAGTAATCATGGCATGGAGCTTCACTCCCTCTTTGGGCATCATTAGTGAAGAATGAAATATCTGTCTTTCAGCACGAGTCTATTGTCATGTTTGTCCATTCTTCCTCCTGTCTCCGTGCTTCTTGTCCTCTTCATATTTTGCCCCTCTTTTTTATTCCTCCTACACTAGCTCTAGTTTGAAGGGTATAACACCCACTGAAGAGTGTGATCAAGCTAAGTCAGCTTTTGGTTTACACTTATGCTCATGATTTTGAAAAGTTTGTGACACACTCCACAAATTCTTTTCCACATTGTCTTGCTAATAGATCCAGACCAGATGTCGAACTGGACTTTTGCCATCTGTGACCTACCTACTCTGCCACGACCAAAGTAGCAATGTGTGGCTTTAGTATGTCTCTCTACCAATCACCTTTATACCTACCTACCACTTTTATAACTCAAGTGCTCCACTCTTTTTTCTGTGTGTTTTCTGTAACTGAACAATGGAGAGTTAGATCAGGGAGCACCCAAGGAGGTCTAGCTTAGATATAGTGCACTAAGTGGAATTAAATAAATTCTGGGCAGAGCCTTCAGTTATTCTAATTTCCATCCATTGGGTTCGAAGTGTGTGAAGCATCCTTGGATGACTGGACAACAAGTTTGGACCACCACCTTCTCTTGTACTCTGTTGTGGTGGCTTGTGCTGCCACCTGGTGGTGGTCAGTGTGGCAGCTAGCTACAGTACTAACAAATACTGTAGTTTACAGTGAAATAATTAGTTTTTTGTTACAATAATTCTACTTCTCACTCTTGGAAGAGTTTTTTGAGTGAATTGTTGTGACTATCTGATAACGTATGGTAGCTCAGTGGTAGACTGAGTTAGACTCTCCAGCGCTTCCATCCCCTTTTTCTTTGGTAACACCATTGGCAAAATTCCTCAATACTGTTGGAATACACTTCATTATAAAGTCTGGCAAGCGAATTGAGTCCTAGTGGAACTGTCTGGCTCTAGATAGTTGGGAAATTCAACACAACATTTTAGGTATGGAAGGAATTCACAAAGCACTTTCCATGACCACAAGAATTTACAAATCTGGTTCAGATCACTAGTGGGCTATTCTACTTGCAGAGAACTATATAATTAGAAAGATTAGACAAATCATAATACTGGTATGAATTCATGGCTTACAGGCATCATATCTAGTGGTTGATTGATTGATGAAGATTAAGCCACCCAAGAGGTGGCATGGGCATGAATAGCCCATAAGTGGTAGATCATCTAGTGGAGTACGTATTGACGATCTCCTGGGTTATACCAGAGATTCCACAACAGCCATTAAAAAGGGCACACTACAACTAACCCACTCAGATGTAAATGAAAGTGATGACATTTCTCTGCCTCTCTTCCCTCAGTTTCGACTTGACAAGGGTCTAGGATGGACTGAAACATTGCTACTTTTATTTCCATATGTGTGGGTTGGGTTATTTTCGAGTCACGTTTTGTGACTTATTCTCAGCACAATACAAAATATGCCCAAGAATGGCCAGTCACTGCATGAATTAAGAGAACTGTCAACATAATTAGACATTTTAACTTACAAACTGAAATATTGTACCTTCAATAAGTAAACCAAGATTTAACACCATTATCCTATGCAATCTTTAAAAATGTAAAGAAAAGAATAAAGTATAATGGAAATGAAATAATAAAAGGTGCATTTTCTAACCTAAGTAGAGACACCAAGGATAAGGTGCAAGTCCTAGAATAATATTGCTGCATATTGCTGATGTACAGCCCAAAAGTGCTAATGCGGAGTCATCCATTTGCAGTCGATAGCTGAGCAGAGGAAGAACGGTAGATACAGCTGAAAGGAATCATAACACTTCTTGTACACAATTCTGTACTTATATTCACATACATCACACATAAAGCATATATGATTATGCCCAAAATACTTTCTACATTAGTGGCTTTCCATAATTAACATCTTATCTACCTATTATTATTCCACTGCAACAAGTTCAAATACTGTAAATCTATAACTTGTAATTATTAAAATTATTATAATCATTAATCCATTATCTGTGAGGTAGCTTATCATACATGCCATTCTACAGATAATGTATCAGCTAAGTAACTGAAAATGGGCAACAATCCATGTGTCATAATATTAGAAATGAACAGGCACAGCTCCACCAGAAGTTGTACACAACTGCCCTGATGCAAGGGCACCTGATCCTACTAGTCTCATTTGCAAAGATATCTTAGCAAGCTTTTATTAGAGGAAATTTTGTTTAAATATCACAAGACCAGTTAAAGGTATTCTATTTAAACATGAAATGCATATGTTTTAAAACAATGCCATAAAGAAGTAAATTTGCCATTATAACCCTAATTGCTTTAAAGTTGAAAATTCTTTATATGTGAATTGAGAGGCAAGGTTTGGTTTGAGAGACCTGGTGCTTCTCCCTGAAGCAGTGCTTCCCAACATTTTTGGACTCACAAGCCCATGATGACCAAACCACACAAACAATGTTTTTGTTATGCATTCTTTACCTTACAGTTAAAGCTTTACAGTTTTATTCAGGCAGTTAACACTTTTGCACTTAGGGCGCGCGAGCGCCAGACCACCCTAAGGTGGGCCGGCATTCCATGTGAGCACTCGGTAATACTGAAAAGTGCTAGAAAAAAAAGAAAAATACTCTTTTCAATTTCATTACCTCAATTCTTGTCTTAGGTCTTTCATTTTGGTATCAATGTGTTCGTAGTAGAATTCCTTACAGAAGTATGTGCATATAAAGTCCAAAAGCCCAGCATACCATCTGCACCAAACCGAGATTTTTTTAAAACTTTTGACACACCGATGCGTCATTCCCGCACATTCATCTAATAAATTTTTGACACCATACTGCATCGTCCCCGAGTGTTAAGTGGTAAGTGAAAGTGTTAAGTAAAATAATAAAGTTATTGAAATAGTACATGTAATTGAAAACTAATTAGCTAGAGGGTAATATACAAGATTTAGAAAGAAATGGAATCATTGAATTATATGGATAATATTTAAGCAAATAATTTAACAAATTTAACTAATTTAGATACAAATTTAGTATTGAACACTGTATTATGGAATTAAATACATTACAATTATCCAATAATATACATAATAATAAATGAAAAAGAAAATTGAGCTAAAATTAGGTGCGCTGTAATTGATAATTTTGGTAACAAGTTAACAGATTGTTAGAATAAAATCAATAATAAAATAATAATATCAACCATTCAGAGTGAAACAGATTGTCAGATATAACAATTATTTATATTATTTTATGAAAAATTATGATGATAATTAAATAATGTTGAAATAATAGTAAGCTACAAAAATAATGAAAACTAACATATGACTGCAAAATCTTGCAACTGTGTACTAATGAAAATGTAATTTCATGAATTAAGAATGAAGTACAGTACTGTAGTTGATAATTTAGCGGGAAAACTTTATGCATGACAAAAATATTATTTGATTACAGTATGAATATTAAAAATTTTGATACACAACGGTAGTGTAGAATAAACTGATAGTAATGGAGCGTAATGCAATCCCTTTAAACAACAAATAACTGCTTCCAATATAGAGATTTGTGATAATGTTGCAGCAAGTACAATGTGGCATTATTTGGTGAATAATGGTGGACTATCTAGGAGCTTCAAGTCTCCTAGAGCCCAGCTGAATGAAATTATTTGATGAAGTTTTGAGAGTCTCAGGCTGGGGTTGGCTAAGATGAGCTGATGCCTTTTTGAATGTTCTAATATCTCACAGGCTCCACTAGTGACAGTAGTCTTTCATTTTATTTATAGGTTCTCTGTAACTGCTCTCATCTTTCTCTGTTAGAAGAGTATTCCTTACTGCTTACTAGGTCATTTGCAACGATAAATGATGACTTTACTGTATAGTGTATAACTTCCAGGAAGCTTCCTTGTCCAGGGTCCTGAAAGCTACAGGAATCTTCGTTAACTTTGCATACAGCACCAACATTAATGTGTGCCTCTGATGATAGGCTTGGGTCTGCTTCCAGATCTTTTTATTGTTCTGAATCAAGCATTGTATACTATTGTTGGGAACAGGAAGCCTGTTGGGCTTATCAAGGCTCTCCTACCCAGACTATCGTTCCAGCCACCCATCCAGTTACTGGCCAAACCCAAAGGTGCTTAACCAACTGACCAAGTCATGAGCACATCATCCACTGTGTCATTATCTCGTATGAAACCCTGAAATATAAACAACATTTTGATACCTTACCCATTAAACTATCTCAAATGAAAACAAAGTTGTACGTCCTGTATGAGAATGAATAAACTATTATCATTTATTGATAGAATTGCGTGTCATGATTTTTGTAACTATTGTAATTAGAAACTATTTGTAACTATTTGTAATTAGAACAATATACTGTATAGTTTCTCAACAAACTATGACTGATTATTAAGAAAGAGTACGTTATGCAATATATTAAATATAAAGAGAAATTCTACATTTGTTAATGCATATGACCTTCAAAAGCTGAAACAGCCTTGTTTGAATCCAACAGTATGTTGTAATTTGATATTTTTGTAAGTGTTTGCAAACAATAAAGTGACAATGCTGAGCAACTCTAAACATTCACAACATGTTAACTGGTCTATACAGGTCAACTTACCTATGATGCTTGAGAGCATTCCAACTAGATTAAGTTGAACGAACTGGTTGTAGTCCCAGCCAAATTTTCGTTTGGTATACAAGTATGCCATATTAATAGCACCTGCAAAAACAGAGATAAGAGTCATGTGAAAAGTACCCCTCTGAACAGCATCATTTCTTAGTCCTTAATCCTTAAATGGTTCAATCAAATAAAGGTCCTATAACATGGTGTGCATGACAAAAATTAGTTAACAAAATTTATGTAAAATAGTCATAACTGGCAATTTAAACACAGGAGGTAATCATGTTAAGGTAAGATTAACTGTCAAATGAGCAGCATCATGTACAGACAAGTGAGACAACATTCTGGTACCAACATCACAGGGATCTTTTCAAGCTGTCCTTCCAAAGTCACTATATGTGTTGGGGAAGCCGTTGGCAAAAAAGCTCAGTCCAGCCAAGAATAACCACAACAGGTATACATAAAAACTCAAAAGTCTATAGTAGTCTAGATCCTCGGCTCACAATTGAGAGACCCGGGTTCAATTCCCGGGCAGGACAGAAATGGTTGGGCACATTTCCTTTCATCTATTGCCTCTGTTCACCTTATAGTAAAATAGATCCCCTGGGATTTAGGCGATTACTGTGGAATGCATCCTAGGAAACGTCAAGAGTTGGCCTAGGAGGGGGGGGGGGGGAACTGTGATAAGCCTAACTGCAGGTTTCCTGTCCATAACAATAACAATCATATCTTCTCTTGGTGTTACAGGTGACCAGCAACAGAAAGCTCTAGCTAACTCATTTGCCTGCTTGGCAAATGAGCAGGCAAACCACCTTAGTTTAAACATACACAACTGAATAGAACTTACACATCTCCGATTTGTTTATATCTTCATTTGAGTGAGGTGGATGGGGTGAGGTGGTATTTAATAAGGTATTAATTTCATCAACACAAGACAGAACACGAAACAATGGGTATTGAATAGAAGTGATTGTAGAAAGCCTATTGGTCACCAGGTGGCAACTCCATGCACACTTCACGATTCCCAAAATTAGATTTTTTACATACAGTACTGATGTACAATACCAAAGTTTGTGCACACAGCAGGCAGAGCATGACTGGAGGAACTAGAAGCAACTAACTAATTCTGATCAAAAGATGCATTTCATAGTGACTAAAAATCTTATTTTTGAGCAATCACATTTGATTGTTTCCTTTGGTAAGAATCTGAAATTGAGGAAAGTATTGAAAATGGGATAGGACCTTCCAGTGGTTTAAAGCAGTGCCCAAAAGAAGCTCAAGAGTAAAGAGTGATTAATAAGATGCTCAAAATATTGGTCTGAGCAAAACATGGCAGAGAAAATTCTCTGCATTTGAAGAAATTATATCAAGCATGTGCCAAAGGATATGGATTGGCTAACTTAGCATGACTAATCTGCAGCAGCTGGGAAATGAACATGGAACATTTGAACATGCAAGTGTAAGCCTAGGGTTGAGAAACAAGCTGCCTAATATGAGGGAAAGAAGCCAAATAACATCAAAGGGAACAGAAAGAAGAAAGTGATGTGTCCTAAGATGCAAAACCCAAGTCGTAATAACAATGATACCCTTCCAAAAAGAGCGTTTCATTCTTAGTGACAAAGCTTGGGATTGGATTATAAGAAGGTGCAGCCTAAGGCCTCTCCTACATTAAGGAATCAAGACCTCTGTAAATGTCAACAAGAGACCATGTAGGATCTAAAGGATCATGTGAAGGATGAATGTGGAAGAAGGTCATACTGAGTTGTAGAAAAGGAGATCCAGAAAGGTCGACGCCGAAACCCGAAATCGACTTGGTAACGGTCCGATAGCCAACCTATATAAAGCTATCATAGTAATCATTAGCATCCTCCTTTCTCTCCGGATAGCTCCAGAGAGCCGAAGGAGCTCCACCCAGAAAATAGTCAGATAAGTGAGAAACTGTAAGCATCTTTTCCTCTTATAAAATCACTGACAGTGAGATGGTAGCTGCCTTGGTCTCCCAAATCAAGCTTAACCATGAAAGGCTCTATGGAAACTGCAGCTGGGATTCTGGCAGGTGCACACCAGAATGTTGTAACAAGTACCACCAACACTTGATCTCTGTTTTGCACACACTAACAAGTGCCGGGTGCTCAAACCAGCTTGTCATCAAGATAGGCCAAGACATGCACATTCTGGAGCCAAAGCTTGCGAACCACCACTCTGATCACCCTTATGACAAATCTGGGTGCCTGGTTCAACGCGAGGGAAAGAGTCCTAATGTGCCACTTGTGGTCTCATGATGAAACCCTAGAGAAGTACTTAAACATGGATAAATTGGAATATGACAATAAGCATCCTGGGGATTGAGGGAGACGAGCAAAGAAGATACAGGTAGATCTGATGGCCTACAGACATTGCAGTCATGTAGTATGCCAGGCAAGTTATAAAGGTATGAACCCCTAACAATATGAGAATCATTTTCTTCTTTGTGGAGCCTTTCTTCACCAAGGGGAAAGTAATGAGACTGCACCTGAAGAGTCACACAAACCACTCCCTTGTTCAACTGTTCCTGTACAAGAACACGAGTATAAAAAGAATAAAGCAGCTACCTGCAGCCAACAAACATCTTGTGAGTCAAGGCCAAGCTCATCAAACAATGCATGGCTGAGAGCCAAGCACCCCCTGGAAGAAGGCCAGCCTCCAAGAATCATGGCCAGTTGGTACTGAATGTCCTGGGAGGGAAAAAGTGGATCCCCAATGAGTCAGTAGATATTGGAGATAAATGTGGATCACCAGGGACTTGGTTGGTACAGGAGATGCTAAGACAAAAAATGGTTCCTCAAGGAGTCAGTAGATACTAGAGATCCTGGAAGAAGTCCTAGGAGACTCCTGAGCAAGAGCCAGTCTGGAGAAGAAAAGCTTGAAGAACCCCTTTTCCTAGTGCATAAGGAAGTCTCATAGGTGCCTGGCATAGCTATTCAGTTTTATATCAATATGGAGGAATGCCCAGAAAAAAATATAATTAATATAAATATATATATAATTATCAGTGAAAACTTAGATTGGATTTAAGCGTTCCACTTTAATGAAGCAGGTATCAGTGGTGATGACTCGGTGGACACAATATCCAAGAGCGGCATTGGTTTGATGTTAAATCAATGTTATCAATGTCAATTAAATCTTAAATCAACAATGATGACATTGATTCAAAGTTGAATTGTTGCTGCTCTTGGATATTGTGCCCATTGGTGAGTGACTATAGTTGGATCAAATTTTGTCACTTATATTTAGCAATCAATTCTACCCATATCTATATTAATGGGCAGTCATTCAATGTATCACACTAATGGAGACAGCTAATACTGTACAGATAAAAAGGTAAAAAACTTGCCATAAATAAACAGCATGCTGCACATGGCTGCCATCAACATGATGATTCGTGCTCGTCCCTTATTTGGTCTAGACTTCATAACTGCAGCAAATGTATCCTTGACATGATTTGTGTCAAAGAGATCTCTGCACATAATGCTTGGCTTGTGTACCAGTTCAGGAGATTGAAGATGTTGTTTTGAGAAAGGTCCACGAGTGTCTTCAATATGCACAATAGTATACAAAATTGCGATAAAGAAAAATATTTCACTTACTCCATAAATTCCCAAATACCCAAGTCTATAAAAAAGATAATCACTGAGTAAAACTCCAATTGGAGCCCCTAAGCCGAATGCCAAGTCTAAAAATGCAATGCGCATTGTTCGAGCTCGAATTTTGGTTATGTCAGCCATGTATGAGTACGATGCCATTAGGAGTGTTATAAAGCCCCCAGTTATGGCTCGTGGAATAGCAGCAAGCAAGATATACATTGAAGGAAGCTCCATCCAATACGCATTGATCTGCAATGCAATATAACTTGTAGATTCTGTTCAATTTTCCATTGTAATGCATCTCAGAATAAGTTCTAATGCTATCATTGTAAAAAATATTTAGATATGTTTGTTTTTTCACTATTCACTACTAATTTATCCTTAAATAAGGAATGAGTGAACACCAATAAACTTCAAATAAAAAATGTTCAAAATGCATTACAGTACAGTATTTCATATAAGGCAAATAAAAACCAAACTATTAATTAACAAAAGCAATACAATATACGGAGTAGAATAAAAACCATGATGGGTATGCGACTCACGAGGTATAACAGTGTGGCAAGAAAACTTCCTATCAAAGGAAGGATCAGAGGTATTTTCCGTCCGTGTTTATCACTCCAAGAACCAAGAAACAGCACAAATAGCACAGCGGGAATATTGCACAGCAGCTCGTTGTACATGTTAATGGTAGTAACCATCTGCTGAACGGCCACCTCCTCCTCGGGGTAGGACGACAGATTGGCACAAGTCACATTGTCATACCCTTGTTCTCGGCATACCTATGAAGTTAAAAAGAGTGAAAAGTAATAAACACATATTGTACGTCATATCGCTTGGAAACATTACAGTCAAGTGTCGGTAAGAGGCCATTCTCTATTTTAATGCTTGATTAATATATTTTTTCTTTTAATCATTTTTAAATGAGAATTTATACTTTCAATTAATGTACTGTAATATCTCTAACAATTATTGTAATTTGCTTAGTATCATTGAGTAACAAAAATACATTTCTATTGATTGTGCAAAAAACCAGCATTAAATGTAATGAAATGTCATTTTCTGGGTGGAGCCCCCAGAGGCTCCCTGGAGCTAATGGACTGATATTAGCTAATATTAGTACTAGGCTTCAGTCTTATGGAGTTGTCATAAGTTGAAGTTGGACAATGGAGTTGTCATGCCTTCCGGGGACCACTAGCCAGAACACGGTCTCCTCAGCGAGGCGAAGGGAGCAATCGCTTATGAAACTCTTATGAATAAAAGTATTAATGTCTGCCATCGACCAGGGTTGAGCACCCAGAAAGATATGCACTTCAAAACAGACCCCTCCTGGGAGAAATATTACAACCTAAGACCTAACAGAGGCTAGAAACTCCCCCACAGAAAAACAAACTAACAAGCAACACGACATCACACTGCACGCCACTGGTTTGCACAGATTCCCTCCCTCCCCTGAGGGGGAGAGAGGTCCCGGCCCACTGACCCGGCAGCCAGACCATCAGTTTGGAGGCTGAAAAACAGAACAAAAACCCGTCGACTGAGAGGGAGGGAGTGTACTAGGGAGCCTCCTGGGGCTTCACCCAGAAACTGGCCTTTCATTACATTCAACGCTGGGTTTTATGTGTGGGAGCCCCATCGGCTCCCTGGAGCTAACTACCTAAAGTGAAATAATAAAGGAACTTACCCGGGAGGTGGCTACACCACACAACCCATCACGAAGACGAGGCAACTGGCTGCAACCACTGACCCAAGACGACACAAGACCCCTGAGTGCCCGGCACATTAACGAGATAATGGGCAGCCAGGACCCTGTTCAATCTTCAAAATCCCCGTGCCTGAATGTCAGCCCAGGACATACTGTATCTCCAAACAGTGCAGCCAAAGCTGCGAACTTACAAACATCATGGGAGTGAGAGTAGACCACAGGCTGGCTAGACTTGATAACCCTGCAGACGACCCGAAATACTCGAGTCCTGGAACAGGGAACAAGAGAAACTGGGTCAACACAATGGGCGTCCTTGGACGCAGAAGCCGAGGCACGCAGGCAATGGCGATAAGCCCCAGCTGGACACAAAACATGATGCACTCCCAGCCTGACCAACCAAGCATCAATAAATCACAGACCCCTCCGGAAGCCCGCCGCCTTGTTCTTCGCCAGGAAAAAAACCAGCGTTGAATGTAATGAAATGCCATTTTCTGGGTTAGTTCCGTTGGCTCCCCGGAGCTATCCAGGCTGAATAGATATGTATAACTTTCTGGCACCAGTCAAAGTGCATGGAGTTCTTTCCTACCGGGGACCATGAGCCAGAACCTGGCCCGCTCAGAGAGGCACGAAGAGCAATGGCCTATAGAAACTCCCTCCCCCCCCCCCCCTGTAATTGGGAGCATTCTATGTCTACCATCGACCGGGACAGGCACCCAGAAAGGTAGGCGCCCCAAAACAAACCCCTATTCTGGTGAAAATATTGCTACCGAAAGCTGAACGAATGGACAGAACTCTCCAAACAAAATTAGCAAACTAGCATGATGTCATCACATCACCAAGCCCCTGTCTGCGCAATCCCCCCCCTCCCTGGGAGGGGGATGGGGGAGCCCCTGACCCTCCGGCCGGTGATCCAACCAGCAGTTCTTAGGCTGGATGTCAAAATACATGAAAAACGCCGCCAACTAGAGGGAGGGAGTGATGCCGGGGAACCTCCGGGACTAACTCAGAAAATGGCATTTCATTACATTCAATGCTGGTTTTCTGGGGGGAGCCCTGTCGGCTCCCCAGAGCTACCTCACCACAGATAAGGAAAAGACCGGGAGGTGGACGCCACGCCCCAACCCAAAAACAAAACCACAGGCCAACCCAAAAGACCCCGCAGACAACCCAGGAGACCCTAACCCCAGAACAGGAAAGAATGAAGAGAACCCGGGCAAACCAGAACGCACCCACAGCCCCAGAGGCCAGGACGTGCAGAAATAGCGAAGAGCCGCAACCGAACACAACACACAAAGCACCCCCGGCTTGACCAACCAAGCAGCAACCCAAAGACCCTTCCGGAAAACAGCAGACCCAAACTTCACCTGAAAAGAAGGAGACTGCAGCAAACAAACAACCTACCACCAGGACCAAACGAGCAGAAAACACACCAGAACTGAAGGAGTCACGACAAACCGAGGAGAAGAAAGAAGATAGACCACCCGGGCTAACGACCAGGCCAACCAGGAAACGAGGACCACGAACCGAAATGCGAAGCAAAAAAACAGCAACCCCGCAACCCGCAGGAGCAGCACAACCAGCTCCAGCAGGGAAGAATGATGCACGCGTCACCAAGGTATATACAAGGAGAACAACACAGGATGTGCACTGCACTAAAACAAAAGGAACGTCCCTGAAAGGAACACAAAAGCCATACCCAGGACCAGAAAACAAACTTCCCCTGTCCCAACGAAAAGGAACCATAGGGACAGGAGTGGGTGATCGGAATCAACATCCACCCGTAGACAGTGCAAGTACCTTGTATACCACACATAAAAGACCAATCCTGGAGTATGCGGCCCCAGCATGGATCCTGTACCCAGTCAATCACAAGATGAGGCTGGAAAAAGTGCAGAGATACTCCACTAGGCTAGTCCCAGAGCGAAGAGACACGAGTGTCGGGACAGGCTGCGGGAAATGCAACTCACGACACGAAGACAGAAGAGGAAGGGGAGACATGGACACTACCCACAAAATTCTCAGAGGAAATGACCGGGCAGAGAAAGAGAAACCGCCAAACATAGGTAGTACGCGAAGAAGGGGACACAGGTGGAAAATGAGTACCCATTTGAGCCACAGGGACGTTAGAAAGAACCTGTGCAGTGGCAGAGCAGTTAACAGATGGAACCACCACAATGTGTAGTATAGAGGTAAGAAATACGGAAATAGTCAATGAGAAGACCTGAAAAACAGTCCAAACACTGGGTGCTAGGGGACAAGAGTACTGTACAATGAATATGACGAACAAAGAAGATCTAAGTAGCAGCCGGTAACATAAGGTACACGACCAACCACATATACAGAGAGACCCCAATGTATATATGGGTGCAGCCAGGCACTGGAAGACAGGCAAGGAAAGAGTGTCCAAAGAGTAGAGACCAAAGCAAGGAAAGAGTGAACAGACAGCAAGGACTGAGGCAACGAAGGAGTGTCCAGAAATCGAGAAAAAATTCAGGCGCCTAAAGACTAAACAAAAGGCACCGAATACAGGGACTGTATTCTGCAACACCTGCAACACCGTGGAAACCTCCCACCACTCAAGCGTGCGGGAACAACAAAGGCCATGCCAAGTCACAAGAGAGAAGAAGGAATAGTCTGCCAGCCACAAAAACTCTGGAACCTCATAATGCACCCAATACGGGGAAGAAGAATCTAACTCAAAGAAAGCCGGATCCATCACCAAGACAGAAACCAGGTTCCACAAGAGATAAGCACCGAGCACTGCCTGAACCTCTGCAGGGAAAATTCAAGAGGAAGAAAACCTCCTGAAAGACAAATCTGAGGAATCCAAAGGCACCCAGAAACAAACCCAGGAGGTAACCCTACCCAACTCAAACTCATAAAGGGAAGGAGGGTATAAAACCCCCTCCTCTGCAGATGAAGCCCCTACATATAGGACCCAAAGCCCCAAGCGGGTCAAACAGAACCGAAGAGCTCCACTCGGATTTCCCCCGAGCTCCGGAAACCAATGTCACAGGCCAACCTGTCCTCTTAAAAATAACGTCACTTTTTGCTCGTATGCGCGCTATGGCCAAATTTGGACGTAATTTGAAATGAAATCGACTCACAAAAGTGACGTACTGTTCTGTTTTCTGTTTGAGTCGTCCGTCTTACTCAGCAAGCTTAGAAGAGGATTCTTTCCATTAACGTTTTTCATACCGTTTTAAAACTTTATGAGAATTTCCTACCCACCTAACCTATCAGAGGACCCTTAACTTACTGTTGTTGAAAAAAAAATACAAATTTATATTCATTTTTTTTTCATTTTCAAATTACGTCCATATTCGGCCATACGGGCAAACGGCCAAAAGCGGCATTCTTTTTAAGAGGACAGGTTGCACAGGCGCCAGGGCTGAGCCCCCATCCGCGCCCACCGCCCTAGAAGGAAAGGTGGAGCCCAAGGAAAAGGCTTCGTAGAAGGGAGTCAGCTGGGATGACTCAAAAGACTCAATGGGAAGGAGAGGCTTAACTACCTCCGCACCCAAATCTGATGAGGCAGCCCATGAAGCCACCCAAGCCTCACCCCGAGCTAAACCCTCAGACGTTTGGGAGCCAGAAGCAGGGGAAGAGGAGCAGGGTAAACCAACAGGCAGAATAGCGAAGGCAATATGGACGATCGTCACCCTGAGATTGGGACAATGAAGAACCTTCGAAATCGCACAAGGCAAGAGTGGGCTCAGCAGAAGTATTCATGGTACGATCCAGGAAGGAAGACGAGACAGGGACTGAACCAAGGCTGAAGCGACCAATGCCCCCAAATCCGAGTCTCTAAAACCCAACCCGGGCAGCTCCGGGACTTCTATCCGGGCAACCAAATGGGCCGAGACCCGTTTGCTAGTGACCACAGGGGATTTCCAGGGCTCGTAGAGTGAATAAGCCCCACAAGAAGTCCAGGCACTGGGACCAACTAAGCCAGTAAACCCTGTTGATGCAGGCAAACCAACCGCAAGCAGCTGCTGTAAAGCTTCGGGAGCATCAGAGGAATATCACCACCACACCCTAGGCGGAGCCTAATGGTGTACAAAACAACACTCCGCTGCAAAAACAGACAAAAATGCCAGGAAACCAAAACAAACCCCCCGAAACTCCACAACACCCAAAAGCAGTTGGAGAGAAACATCAGCTACTGCATGATAGCTACAGCAAGCTATGCCAGCCACAGTGCACCCCACCAGCTGATAAATATTCCCCTACTCAGGGCAAGGCAGAAAGCCCAAGACCCCTGAATGACCCTAAGGGCCAGTCAGGGGTCCTTGGGGTCAGATATTATGGATGTATATATTCTGGATAAATGATCCACAATAAGTTACTCAAATGAAACTTGAGAAGAAATTATTAATGAAATTTCACATAAATTTTTTTAGGTTTATCAGTTATCAATAGTATTCCTAAAACATAAAATTGTACTTCTAATCTACATAGCCTTCTACAAAATATAGCATCATCGGTTTAGTTCAATTATTATGACTCTATACCTATCTTGTGGATGGTGTTGGAAAACTTTACAGAGGTACATAATGGGCTCAGGAACTGAGCCCAAAAACTCTTAGTTAAGCAAGTTACAGCCTTGATGGGGTAGTTACACAGTTTAGTGTACAGTATATATCTATTTTCTATTACATAATGTATTCAAAAACTGGGAATAGTGAGGGAAATCCATACACACCTTCACTAGCAACAAATTTGTGGTGACTGTTGATTGTATACTCCAGCCGGCAACATTGAAGAAGAGTATGGGTTCTGTTGTGATTCCACGCAAAACTTTTATTACTTTCCTACAGCATCCCTGTTCCCTGGTGCGGTCTTCTAGTCCATTGGCATCTTCACAAAGATGTGTAGAAGTGCTAATGTCTAAGGAATCTAAACACTCAATGTTCTGATTACTTTCCGAGTCCTCGGGAAGTAAAGCCTCATCATCTCTCTCATTCTCCATTATGATTTGTTACCAAATGTATATTAATCAGCTTAAAATTACACTGCAGTGTATTTAGTATTTTTCAGAAATGTCACTCATAATCATTTATATAATTATTTATTATCATGTAGTCTGATATACCTGTACTGTATATACTGTACAGTACTACAGTACTGATTGAGGCCTTTAATTATTGCTTTTATTCCAGTTATAATTTCTTCCAAGCTATTAATACACATAACACAACAGTACTTCTAAGTTTTCAGTGATTTGGAAAGAGTTTAGTACTGTACTGCATATCATTTGTTATTTTGTTATCTAATAAAAAATGGCAAAAATATAAAGTGAGATACATTATTTATAGAATTTTAAAAATATATCACTAAGTGGTTTCAAGGTAGGCCTACACTGCATGGCCATATCTGTAAAGAGATAAGAAGTCAGTAAAACAACATGAAACTATGAATGTTACTGAACAAAGAACAAAAATATATTATATGCAGGTTTATAAGTAAGCAGAACACAAGTCACAATAACGTGGCTGAAAATTTTAGACACGAAACCCTGCACATCTGGAAATAAAGAAATGACCACATTTCGGTCCAACCTGGACATAAATAAATAAATAAATAAATGTTTATTTAGGTAAGGTACATACATACAAGAGATTTTACAAAGTTTGTTGGATTAATAGATAGAGCTAGTACATACAATGCCTAAAGCCACTATTACGCAAAGCATTTCGGGCAGACATGTGACATGTCAACATAACCCGCCAAACACACACCGAAACTACGACGTTGGTACAACGTTCGAACAAGTTTTAACACTTCCTAACCAGTTATAACAACCAATATAGCAAGTTGTAACAACGTTCTAATACGTCATAAACACGTTAAGCCAAGATGTAACAACTTTATTACAAGTTGTAACAAGCGGAAAATAGAGACAGTTTCGGTTTGTGTTTCCAGGGATGTGCCAAGACAGACTAACATAGCAATTTCCTTTATTTTCAGATGTGTGGGTTTGGTGTCACCACAAGTAAATTCAATAGAGAATCAAGGCCAGAGGGCTGGGCAGGGGAGCCTATACCCTCCCTCACCTGGTACTTTAATCTTCATGTAAGATAAGCACCAGACTTACCGCCTCTTCTCATAATCTGACACTAGAGTGTACTGTATATTTGTGAAGCTCTTTAGAAATTGTCCAGTGTTACGAACCATAAATTATCTTAAGGTAGGTGAGTAAAGATCTAGGTAATAGAGGGTCCAACTATCAATTACCTTCAGTTTGGTGAGTAAAGACCTAGGTAATACAGGAGGAAAGGGGAGCAAAGCTCCAACTATCTTTGAGTAAATCGCTTAAAGTAATTTTGGGGCTCCTATCTAGGTGATAGTGATACAAAGACCTTACCATGTTCTACATGCTACTATAATCCACAGGCTGCCTTTAAATCCATTTTATTTGAAAATGAACTGTGCATGACGAGTTGCAAAAATCAATTCCAACACAACCTGATTTAACAATAAGTAACAGCATATCTAGTTGCTACAAGTTCAACTTGTTCCATACAGCTAGCCTTTATTTTCAGGATATTAAGGTTAACCTTAAGTGGTTCAGATAATTAAAAGTCCTACATCATGGTGTGCATGACAAAAAATACAGTACAGTACTGCACTAATTATATAAAATTATAAAAACTAATTATAAAATTTAATTTGCCAATTCAAGCACAGGAAGTTATCGCATATGGCAATCGAAGTCATTTCAGCGTCAAGTCAGGATAGTTTAGGTCGGGAGTTGAAAATAAGACAACTAATTAAAACTGAAGAAAAAATATGAAACAACCAAAAGTTTTAGCCATCATTAGACACATTATTGGCATCGCTAGTTGCTTCTTTGTAGTTCACTCTCCCTTTCCCTAAAGCATCTGTGGTCCAAGGGTCTAGTCTAGAGACCAGAGGTCTCTAAGCCCATAGACTAGAGTCTAGACTATGACCATAGCATAGGTCACACCTTAGCTAGTTTAGCTGGATATTGCAGCCTGTCCTCTTAAGTTGCCATAACTAACTAAAAATAGTGTACTAAATTACCTGAACCTAATGTAACCTAACCGAGCTCTACAATAAATACTGTACTTTGAAAAATCATATGAATAAAGCACTCTATATGATATAAACACTATGTGTATGTTGGATATAAGACCCTGAGATGCTGCACCATTTAGATACAGACCAACATAGCACTGCATTATAGTATATAAGATGCAGTATACAGTATTTGAGAAAATGATTTCATAATGTTACCACTTTCCATACTTGATCCAAATTTGAAATTACTTGCCAAATATATCTTAGCCTACCCCAGTATATTCTTGCATATTTTAGGGTTGATTTATCTGAATTTACCCAAGGGCCACTGTCTCTCTCTAGTGGCCTTGACGAGGACAGGAAGCTGGCAGCTTGCCAAACTTCCTCCAATTTGTCCTGAACTCACATAGAATATTGAAGTGCTATTAATTGGATGGGTGAGTTAGAAGCTGGGAGATTCATACTCATAAGGTTTACCTGAATTCACCTGAGAGCCACTAACACTTGTGGCCTCAATGAGGACAGGAAGCCGGTTTGTTTGTCGAAGGGCCCCCCCCCCATTTGCCTGTACCTGTATTTGTACTGTACCTTAAAAGTTAACAGAGTTTTGGCATTTACGGTTTCAGCGGGTAGGCAGTTCTATGGGTTAATCGCCCTGTGGGTGAAAAATCATCTTCTGTTCTCAGTCCTACATTGTGACTTGTTGAGCTGGAAACCATTGCTCTTTGTTACACCTTTAGCAAATGACATTTGCCATTCCAATGGCAAATGGAATTTAATATGAATAAATGTCATGTTATGGAATGTGGAATTGGAGAACATAGACTCCACACAACCTATAAATTATGTGAGAAATCTTTAAAGAATTCTGGCAAAAAAAGGGATCTAGGGGTGGTTCTAGATAGAAAACCTTCACCTGAGAACCACATTAAGAACAATGTGCAAGGAGCCTATACTGCACTTTCTAACTTCAGAATTGCTTTTAAATACAGTACATGGATGGAGAAATACTAAAGAAATTGTTCACGACTTTTGTTAGACTAAAGCTGGAATATGTAGCAGTTGTATGGTGCCCATATCTTCAGAAGCACATCAACAAACCGGGAAAAGATGCAAAAACATGCCACTAAGTGGCTCCCAGAACTGAAGAACAAGAGCTACGAGGAGAGGTTAGAGGCATTAAATATGCAAAAACTAGAAGATAGAAGAAAAAGAGGCGATATGATCACTGCGTACAAAATAGTAACAGGAATTGACAAAATTGATGGGGAAGAATTCCTGAGACCCAGAACTTCAAGAACAAAAGGTCATAGATTTAACCCTTAGAACGCGCATATTTCCCCGAATTTAGGGAGCATAACATCGAAAAATATTTGAATTATGTAAAAATAACTTAAAAATGTTAAACAAATCTCCAACTTATTAGCTTCAATGTCGTGAAACTCTCATAAAAATATTTTCAGAAATTGGTTTTAGACGAATTTTTGAAAAGTAAGAATGTTTTACTGATAAGAACGGCTCCTAATAACTGTAACTGAAGGATTATACAGTAGTGTAATAAAGAAATGCAAGCACCTGTCCTATGCTCAAAGAAGAACAATAGTAGTAAGAAGTGTCCACAAAGTGGATATGCAGTTGGTGCCTTTATAGCATTGCAGAGTAATACATAACAACACAAATAATAATGAATAACTATGCTAATATGATCTATTTTGTTATATATATTATAAATACATTGTCCAATGTTAATATATGTTTCTTTCATCAATGTCCCAAAATTATTTTTTTTAGGGGATTTTTTTTTTTAAGATTTGTTATTTTTTCTCCTTTGTTTATTATCTGATTTTGTTTTAATCTTTACATCCTGGAGAATGCATATGTTTCCCTAACTATGTGAAGATATGCAGGCGATGAGTCACAATAACGTGGCTGAAGTATGATGACCAGACCACACACTAGAAATTGAAGAGACGACGACGTTCCGGTCCGTCCTGGACCATTGTGAAGATAGATATGTGAAGATAGAATGAAATTTGTCAACAAATAAGTCAAGTCACAACTAGCAAATCTTGGGACTTTTAATTTTTTGGGGCTGATTTTTTCTCCGATTTCAAACTATTTTCTTTGTCTCTTTAGGTTGTTTTGATGACTAGGGACCATATTAGGGCTTTTCACTTATATGAAGGATACCCTAAATATATCCCCCCTAAATCATTATAATTATTATAATTATCCCTATATTTTTTGGGGGTTATTTTTTCTTGACTTCATTTCAACACATATTGACCTACAACTTTCACACATTCGAGTACGAATGCCAAACAATATTTATTAAAACACACAATTAAATAAACAAAATAAAACTACTGTACTGTACCTTTATCCATTGTTGATAACTTCAACTTCAATTATCTCTGAAACCAGAGTTTCAACTTTGAGTGGCTTCTAAAATTCCAGTTATTAACTGATTCTCACTATTTCGACATATTGTGTGTTCTGCTGTCTGCTCTACAATCCCATAAGAATGGATTTTTCATAAACTTTATACATTGGGAGTTATAGTTTTTTTGGTCTAAATTTCCCACATATTTCAAATGTCCTATTGATGATTTTTTTTACAGTAAACTATACTAAAAACCTATATTCTAATTTAATGAAAATGAAGATCATATGCTATTCTGAGAGAATAATAACATTAAATGAACAATTAATGATAGTTCATATTTTTTATTCTGAATTGAAAATCTGAAGTTTTCAATATTTAATTTTAAAATTAATTTTGATTATCTGGTTTTTCAAGTTACGCTGTGATCATTTAGACAAAGTTGGAGCATTGGCCTAGTTGATTATGCACAAAAAATTGGAAAGTGTTTGTGCAAGTTTTAAAAACTTATCTTAAATTATTTTTGTCAAATCATATATGTATGTATTGCGCTAAGGGTTAAACTAACGAAACAAAGCTGCCGGAGAAATATAAAAAAAAAATCACTTTTGTAAACAGAGTGGTAGACGGTTGGAACAAGTTAGGTGAATAGGTGGTGGAGGCCAAAACCGTCAGTAATTTCAAAGTGTTATATGGCAAAGAATGCTAGGAAGACGGGACACCACGAGCGTAGCTCTCATCCTGTAACTACACTTAGGTAATTACACTTAGGTAATTACCTGACACAATGTAGACGTAGACATTGTGTCTACATCTGTGTTACATCTTTCCCACTGTGGCGAGACTGGAATCCTGTTCCTGTTAGGCTTATTGAGATACCCCATAGGCCAACTACTGACCTTCCCCACAACAGTTACCTAATTCCTAAAGTATCAATTTACTGAGGGTG